GCCTCCTACGGCTGCCCCTGGAGCAGGGCACGGCGTCTTCTCGGGGCTCCTCGGCCAGCGAGGGCAGCCGAGGCGGGCCCCCTCCCCGCCCACCACCCCGACAGAGTCTCCAGGAGCAGCTGAACGGGGTCATGCCCATCGCCATGAGCATCAAGGCGGGCACGGTGGACGAGGACTCGTCAGGCTCCGAGTGAGTGTGGCCGGGGGAGCGGGACGGGGTACAGAGGCCCCGGCTGGGCTCGGAGCTCCCCAGCCGGCTCTGGTTGGCATTCAGAGGACGAACAGGCGGAGTGTGGCCCAGCTCCCTGACGGTGACGTGCCCACAAACCACAGTGCCCTGTGGGCATCGGGCAGAGCGGGAGGGTGGGGAGCTGGGCTGCTTTTCTGTTTCCTTCTTCTGGTGGAAGCTTCTCGCTGTCTCCTCTGCTCCGACTAACCCTCCGTCTGCCTTTTCTGTCGCTTCCTTTCCTGCCTCTCCAGATTCCTCTTCTTTAACTTCCTGCATTAACCCTGGGCCGGTGGTTCCTACACCCCAGGCTCCCTTGCCTTCCCCAGCGGCACTCATGCCCACTCCTGTCTTGTGCTTTATCCTGCCCCCGCTCCCCGCCGCCCGCCGCCTGCCCGCAGCAGCGATGAAACGTCCATCTGAGGAGCCTGGGCCTTGCTGGGAGGGGCACCCCCCCAAGGCCATCTAGTGCCAACTCCCTCCCCCACCAGCCCCTCACTGCACTTTGGACCCCTGGGGCCAACATCTCCAAGACAAAGTTTTTCAGAAAAGAGGAAAAAAAAAATTTAAAAAAGGATCTCCACTCTCATGACTTCAGGGATTAATTTTTTTTATACGCTGGAAACTGACTCCCCGTTCCCTTCCCAAAGAGGATAGGACCTCCAGGAGGCTCCCAGCCTCTCCTCGGTTTCCCATCTGCTGTGCCTCTGGGAGGAGAGGGACTCTTGGGGGGGCCTGCCCCTCATTTGCCATCACCAAAAGGAAAGGACGAAGCCACACGCACCCAGGGCACCGAGCCCCGCAGGCTGCCCCGGCCCGCCTGGCCGCCCCTCCCAGGAACTGAAGAAGCCCGTCTGGAGAGGGAGCCGAAGGACTCGGCGCCCCTGGACCCCCAAATGCTGCATGAACACATTTTGAGGGGAACCCGTGCCCCGGGCGGCGGCCGGGCCACCCCTGCTCCTCTCCTTTTCCTGGACTCGGCTACGCGCTGCAGCCCAGGCGTTTGCTCAGTTCGCTGACCCAAAAGTGCTTCATTTCCCTGCCAGACCCGCACGCCGCGTGGGGAAGGCCAGTCACGTTCAGTTGCGCTTCTTTGCTGTTGTGTGGGTGGGACGGGGAGAAGAGTGAACACAGTGCCGGCTCAGTCGCTCCCGGCATCGGCCCCAAGTCTGGGTTCTGAGGTCCTCCCAAGATCAGGCCGGCGACCCCACTCAGCTGCTGTGGCCTCTGAGACATGTTCTAGTTTTAACCCCTTCTGGGAATTGGCTCTCTTCTTCAAAGGACCAGGTCCTGTTCCTCTTTCTCCTTCTCCCCCTGCCCCAGCTCCCTGCGAAGAGAGAGTTAATATATATTTTTTATTTATTTGCCTTTTTTGTGTGTGTGTGGGGATGGGTTGGTATCCGGTCCCAGGGGGTCTGATGTGGCTGTTACAGGTTGGGTGTGTGCCCTGCAGTCCTGGCATGGGGCCCGAGGCCCTTCCCCTTGCTCCAGGCTGTCATCTCCCTGCCCCTCCTCCCCCTCCTCGGTTTTGCCAACTGCTACTCATGTGAGTCACCGTTTCTGCTGAGCATGTAATCCAGACTTGTCATGGACTGGCCTCTGGAGCAGGTGAAAAAGCTCCTGTTTCTCATGTGTAAGGCTGGTCTCTGGCTTTCCTGCCCCAGTTTCTCCCCTCTCCCCTCAGTAATTCCTGCAAAGGGTTAAACACGTCACTGGTTTTCACTACTGATGACTTGACTTAAAAAAATACAAAGATGCTGGATGCTAACTTGACATTAACCATCAGATTGTACAGTTTGTTACTGTAAATATCGTAGGGTTTTGTGCTTGTTTTTGTTGTTTTATTTTTTCCATTTTCCCATACTACTGAATAAACTAGTTCTGTGCGGGTTGAGCGCTGTCATTATTGCTTCGGTGCGGTGCTCATCTTTCTGGCCTTTAAAAATAAGAGCAGGCAGGACCAGGAGGTCAGGGAATCAGACAACAAGTGGCTGGTGTGAGCTAGACGCGCTACCAACATCCCAGCATGCTCCCCAAATAGCCTCATCAACACGGCATTTCCAAGGAAGATGTGGCGGGAGAGTATCATTTTCGCGAGAAGGGACTTGTGTAGCTGGAGAGGAGGCTGGCGGAGCAGGCAGGTTTCCAGCCCAAACCCCCAGGGCTTGCACCCTGTAGGCAGAATTCAGGAGACAGGGAGGGCGGAGTTGAGAGGCTGGTGGGAATTTCAAGGTGCTTAGTGACAGGGCACCTCCTAACGCTACTTCTCTGGGCCACGTTGGGTGTTTATTTCCCAATGGAAATGAAGCAGCTGCTCATACTCCAAGACAACTGTGTCCTCCGCAACATTTCTTCTATCCCCAAGTTTTGTGTTTTTTCAAAGGTCTGTTTAACAAACGAGGTGGGGGGCAGTTAAGGGTGGTGATTAAGAACACAATCCCAGGCCCTGGCGGGGTAGCTCCCTTGGTTAGAGCGTTGTCCTGATATGCCAAGGTTGTAGGTTCGATCCCCGGTCAGGGTACATACAAGAAGCAACTAATGAATGCATGGATGCAACAGATCAGTGTTTCTCTCTCTCTCAAGTCAATAAATAAAAAGTTTTTTTTAAAGGAACACAAACCCAAGAACTGGATTGAGTGACTTCATCTCTCAGCCTTAGTTTCTCTGCCGGAAAAATGAGGATGATACTAACATCTGCCTAATTGAGCTTTTATGAGAATTAAATGAGTTAACACACACAAAGTGCTTAGAACCGTTCACAGTGCATAGCAAGAGGTCCATAAACGTTGGTTTCCCCTGTTACTACTGGGTGGGGGCAGGGGTGGATGCATAGAGAAAAATAGAAAGCCAGACCAAAGGGAAGGAAGGAAGCAGGTAGCTGACCAAGGACTGCTGTGGCAGGCAGGCCTCCTCCCTAGTTGGCACTGCCTACTAGGTTCAAGCAGGTTTGGAGGGGGTTGGGGTGGGGATGGGGATAAAACTCAGGTCTGACCAAGAGGGCCAGAGGAACATGCCGTGTCCTCTCTGGCCACCAGGTGGCAACAGCACATGGGTTTGCTGCTGCTTTTGCTTCTAAGAACCCAGCATGGCGCGGCCCATGCCCAGGTCACACCTGCCATTTGCTGGCCACACCCACACCTATGTGCCTGCCTAGTCTTGCACTCCTCCAGTGCTTCTGTCAGAGCGGCAGTGAGGACCAGACCCTGCTCACTAGACCCCAGTGCGGGGCCCAGCTGGGAAGCACACGTGAGATGTTCCGGCCTCCACCAAATTTCTCCAGAGTCAAAGGCTCAGTGTGTCTCCACACCGCCTCCCCCAGCTCCATTCTGGGAACCCTAGAGTTGTTGCAAGAGTTGTTGCAAGAGGCTGAGGGAAAGGTGAAGGTCTAGACAGCCGTCACTGTGATAGAGGTGAATGTGTGAAAAGAGCCTGGCGATCAGCCATAAACAAGGAGAAGAAAGCAGCGGAGGGCCCCTGGCCTGGGAACAGAGAAAGGGCATTGCAATACCTCAGTTGGGCACTTATGTGCATATAAGCCTGGGCAGGGTGGGCACCAGCTGGCATCCACTTCCTGCACCCAGTTGCCTGTTGCTTCAAGTCATGGCCTGGCCTTCAAGAAGGGGCATTCTTGCCCTAACTGGTTTGGCTCAGTGGATAGAGCGTCGACCTGCGGACTAAAAGGTCCCAGGTTCGATTCCGGTCAAGGGCATGTACCTTGGTTGTGGGCACATCCCCAGTAGGAGGTGTGCAGGAGGCAGCTGATCGATGTTTCTAACTCTCTATCCCTCTCCCTTCCTCTCTGTAAAAAAATCAGTAAAATATATTAAATTTTAAAAAGGGGGCATTCTCTCAAAACTCACAAGGAATTGAGTTGCTTCTGGTTGCAAAATCAAAGGCTGTGAGAAGAGGGAGACTATTAAATCTGCTTTAAATGAGTCTTTGTCATTCATTGAACTACTGCCCCCCTCGCTCTCAGATATCTTTTTCAGTAAAGGAATGAAATTCTCCGCCACATACAAATCACAACACTGGGCGCTGCAGGGACTTATACATCCTGGTGCCAGCCCTGGAGCCCAGTAGAGATAAGAGGAGACCAACAACCCTAATGAAGTAAAGGGGAACGTGAAGTGTCCTGGTATCTTCTGCCTGAGGCAGTCAGGGAGGCTGAAGACTCCTAAGTGCCCCTCAGCCCGTAAGTACAGCAGACAAGATTCTGCTCCATTCTCCTGCCCTGAAGGGACACCCAAGTTTAACATATAAATACTTGCCCTAGCTTGTTTGGCTCAGTGGATAGAGTGGCAGCCTGTGGACTGAAGGGTCCCTGGTTCGATTCCGGTCAAGGGCACATGCCCAGGTTGTGGGCTCAATCCCCAGTGGGAAGTGTGCAGGAGGCAGCCAATCAATGATTCTCTCTCATCACCGATGTTTCTCTCTCTCTTCCTTCTTCTCTGAAATCAATAAAAATATATTTAAAATAGAAATACTTTACCGAGACCTTGACTTGACAGCCTCACACACTGTGAATTAAGCTCTACTTAACTTGACCTGGACCTTTTAATGACATTCAAACCCTGGGAAAAGGCAGCCTGCTTCCAGCTAATACCAACAAGGGGGTAGTTACAGCCTGATTCGCTGGAATCTCGAGGCCCTGGGGCCTATTCAGGCTCCTCTGCCTGGGATGCCCATCCTGGCTCCCTCTTTGGAATTACACAGGCGTTCACTCTAAATGTGTTAGAAACTGGAGCAGGATTTGCTTTCACATACGCAGAGAATATAAAAATACACTCACTTTATTTTAGAAAAGTATAGACCAAAGGAGTCAGCTTATCACAAACTGGCCTGTTACGATTCACAGAATTCACAGGAAGCAAGTTCCGGAGGCCAGGTGCCTGCCTCTGCTTCGCCAAACAGGCCGGAGTCCAGTAGGGGATGTGATTCAGGAGGACTGCTCCTGGGAGAGCAGGGAGGTCAGCGACAGAGGCCATTCCCATGTTCATGCCCAGGGACCCTCGGCCTGGGGATGAACACAGAGTGGGGGTGGATGAGGACAACCCACTCTCCTGCACTTCTCATCTGTTTGTTCATTTCACTGTCGGGAGGTGACTTCTTTTCCCTAATATTCCAATCGGAGAGTTTGAATCCCCTCCAGCTCCACCCTAATCCACCCCATCTCCCTGGGGCACCAGCCGTGGTGGCATCTCTTCCTCTTGCCCCTGAGCCAGAATCTGCAGGAGTCCGGAACTGCCTCCAACGCGAGGGCTTGGGAGGCCGGAGAGGAGGCGAGTCCAGGCAGGGACTGTCGTGATTGGTTACTGAATTCTTGCTTGCTGTCCTGATCTCTTTACCTAAAGAGACAGAAGGAGGAAGTGCTGGATTGCCCTTCTTCCTCGAGCCCATGTCACCCAGCTGAGCTCAAGTTTCTCAGGAAGAAATGGGACACCCCAACTTCCAGACTCCCCTCCTCTCCCCCATCTTGCCACACAGGATTCAGGGCTGATGTGCCCAATAGCTCAGAAACCCAGAGGACAGAGGAGAGAGAGAGCACCCTAACCAGCCTTACCTGGTAGGTCCTGGGGCTGCAGCTTTCCGGGGGGGCTGCAGATGGCTGCGAGTGGCACCAGGAAGATTTGGTCGCTGGGAAACAGGAACTTGATGGGGGCCCACAAAAGAAATGGGTTATCAGAAAGGTCAAGTGACCGTCTCACAAAGATCAACACTGGATGAAGGCAGGGTGGGTGAGTTTGGGATTAGTGCTTTCCCTCTCACCCAAGGTAAAAACATTTCAAAGGTATTTGAAAACCAAGGCTCAAACCAGGGGTCCTCAAACTTTTTAAACAGGGGGCCAGTTCACTGTCCCTCAGACTGTTGGAGGGCCGGACTATAGTTTAAAAAAAAAACTATGAACAAATTCCTATGCACACTGCACATATCTTATTTTGAAGTAAAAAAACAAAACGGGAACAAATACAATATTTGTATTTGCATGTGGCCCGCGGGCCGTAGTTTGAGGACCCCTGGCTCAAACTCTTGGCCCAGTCCCACATTCTCTCCAAACACACCATCTTCAAATAGAGTTGTAACGAAGATGGAGAAAGTGGTCACTGTTACTAGCTCTGGGAGAGTGCAGAGCTGGGCGACGGTAGGTATTCTTACTCCTAACTTCCTGTCCGATGTCCGTTCCTCCTTACCTCTGTGCCCTGCAGCACCTGGTCTTGGAAGTCCTTTCCGAGTTGACACTGACTCTGAAGCTAGGGCACCTCTGCTGGGTGGTACACTCCGGCTGCTGAGTGGCACTCGGCTGACAGGCTTGGGGATGGCTGAGGGGACAGGTAGTCGACTGGAAGGTTTAGCAGCTGCTCCCTGTGGCCGAGACAGGCGCTGACAGTTGCTGGTAGAAGGCTGTGGGGCCAAGACCGGTCTGACGGGGACTGGCGGGCCTGGGGCAGAGGGATTTTGGGTAAGCTCCACATCCTCCCTCTTCCCATTTACCCCCAGCTTTGCTCCCTGGGTCCTCTCACTTGCTGTTGCTCTCCCACTGGGCCCAGCTTTCCCCCGGGTTGGAGGAGTTGATCGGGTTGGAGGAGTTGATCGGGCTGGAGGAGTTGATCGGGCTGGAGGAGTTGATCGGGCTGGAGGAGTTGATCGGGCAAGAGGAGAAGATGCTGGGCTTTTGGATGTGGGGAACAGATTGCAAGTGGGCGACTCCTGAAACACACACACACACAGAGAGAAAGAGAGAGAGAGAGAGAGAGAGAGAGAGAGAGAGAAAAGCTAAAATGGAAAAAGAATCTGTTCTGCTGGCTGAGGGATAGAGGTGGAGAGTTGCCTAGATCCCAGTAAGGAAGGGCAGCAGCTAGCTGCTAACTTCATCACCACCACCACCATTTATTGCGAGCTTATTATAGACGGTATAGAGCTCTGCACAGACACAGTGGAAAGTGCATGGCTTACGGTATCTGTTAATTCCAACAATTCTGTGAGGTAGAATTTCACTATCCCCGTTTTACCAACAAGGAGCCACTCTATGCCTGTACTGTGTCTGGGGCCACACACCCAACCCAGAGCCGCTACACTCACCCTCTTCACGCTGGAGGGCTTCTTTCCAGATGCTGCCCGAAGAGCCCTGACGGACCCCTTCCTATCGCTGCCCCGGAGTCGGGGTGTCAGGCTGCTTGGAGAGGGGGTGCTCCGAGCGGAAGAGCTCACAGTGGGCAGCAGGTCTCGGACAGGACTGTCCTTCAGCACAAAGGTCTCCCTGCGAGGGCTGGGCTTCACCCTGCGCGGCCCCGGGCTCTCGCCGGCCCTCTCGCGCTCCTGCAGGGCGCACTGCTCCAGCTGCGCCGCCAGCCTGTTGGCCTCATCGAGGACCTCCTCCATCTTCGCTGGGCTGAGGCGGCCTAAGCTGAACCTCACGCCCTGGGGGGTGGGGGCCACTGCATTGAGGTCACCCCGGTGGGAGAGGCCCCGCCGGAGGGGTTTCTCTGGAGTTGCCAACACTGGTATGTCTTCCTCCTCACGACTGAGACAGAAAACAAACCAGTGACCACACAGAGGAGAGCAGGAGACTGCGACACAGCAGAGCCAGGGACACAACCCCAAACCCCAATGCCCATGCTGGCCTCTGGGTGCTGAGACACCTGCTGCTGTGAAGCCTAAGAGGCCGTTAGCATTTACTGACATTGGAGATCACTCGGGGATGAAGATGCAGCGAACCCACTTACCCTTCTTAACACCCTGCAATCTCATTCCAGCTTCTCCCTTCTCCCCTTGCCCAGTAATGGTGTCTTAGGGGCCCAAGCAAACCAGCCACCAGCCGCCCCAGTGCATCCCAACTTGGTAAATTACCAACCCAGGCCCCAGAGGCCAAAAATTCAGCAGTAAGAGGGGGGGGGGTGGGGGGTGGTTAGAGACAGAGGCATCGTTGGAGGAAAGTAAGCAGCATAAAGAGGCTGGTACCTGTCCGATGGTGACAGCCCTCCGAAGTCCAAGGTCTCATCCACTATAAACTTTACATCTGTAGGCGGGAAGGAATGAATGCCCGTGTGGGTCCCTAAGGTGCTCCCAATTGCAGGGTCTCAATCTTCCCTTCAGGATGTCCTTACCTTCCTGCAAATCGCCCATGTTCCAGCCCGCAGGAGCAGCACTCAGCTTGGACCTGAAGTGGAGACAAAGCACACCTTTCCTCGGGTCTCCATCCTGCCCAAGGCTCCCGGCTAGACTCAGAGCGCCAGCCAGGGGTCACGCTGCAGTCAAGCAAGCGTCCCAGGAGGAGCACCTGCTCCGGTTCACCGCCGTTACCTCCGGGGACGGTGCGGAGAGCTCCCCCTACACCCTTATCGCCCTCCGCAGACGGCCCTCCCGCCCCCCCTGCGAGCCCGCCTCTCCGCGCTGGGGGCGCTCTCCGCGCCCATATTCCTCCCACCCACCGTCCTGCGGGTTCTTCCTCTCCCCAAGCCACCTTTCCACGCCCCGCGGGAGCACACCGCAGCCTACCGCGAGTTCTCACTTCCCGCCCCGCCGCATCTCCCGCGGACGGAGCTTTCCTCCCACCACTTAGTCCCGGGAATCAGCTCCGAGGGGGCGGGGCTCCTTTCGAATCTCTCAGGCCCCACCCACTCCGACCACACGCGTGCAGTGATTGGCGGATCCCGGCGTCCTCAGCCCTCGGGGGGCGGGGCGGCGGCGGACAGCTGGCCGGAAGTCTGCAAGTTGGGGGCGGGCTGGCGAGCGGTTCCCAGAGAGACTCCATCCGGGGGTCTGCAGCGGGGACGCCGGGAGCGCGCCCGCGTGCGCCTGGAGGTCTTCGCGCGACCATGAGTGTGGGGTTTGCCCCTCGTCACCCCCTCTTTTCCGCCTCCTCCTCGTTTTGCTTGTGGAGCGGGGGCTGCGGCTCCCGGGACCCGCGCGGTCACCTGACGCCCCTCGCGGCTGTGGGCCGAACGCTCCGCCTGGGAAAATTCGTTTCCTTGGGCTCCCGCCACGTGCCCGCGCCGCTTTTGCCAGATTTCCTCAGGGGTGACCTTTCCTGGTTACGGAAACACCTAACCATCCGTAATTTAGGTATGTTGAGGTTGTCTGAGGAGGACAGGCAGCTGCCACTGCTTTTAAAGCAGGAACGTTCACAGAGCCTGAGGCAGCCAAGGTGTGACGACAGCACAGGGAACACGCTCCGTGGTGTAACTATGTAGGGGGCCAGCTGGGACTAGACTTACCGGGTGCTCACCTCATCTCTATATATAAAAGCCTAAGTGGCGGTCCACCAATCGCTATGACGCACACTGACCACCAGGGGCAGAAGCTCACCACAGGAGCTGCCCCCTGGTGGTCAGTGTCCTCCCACAGGGGGAGCGCGTTCAGCCAGAAGCCGGGCTCACAGCTGGCGAATGCAGCCTCACTCGGCAGCAGCGGCACCGAGCCCCGAGCTACTGAGCAGCTGGCCAGGATAAGCCTGAGTGGCCCGACACTGGCTCAGGCTCCTCCCTGGCTGCCTGTCGCTTGGCGCTGCGCTGTGCACTGCTACGTGAGCCCTATGCAGTGGTCTCACCATTCTAATCTAATCCATGACCTTTAATACAGTTCCTCATGTTGTGGTGACCCACAACCATAAATTATTTTTGTTGCTACTTCATAACTGTAATTTTGCTACTGTTATGAATCGTAATGTAAATATCTGATATGCAGGATGTATTTTCATTGTTACAAATTGAACATAATTAAAGCAGAGTGATTCATCACAAAAACAATATGTAATTATATATGTTTTCTGATGGTCTTAGGTGACCCCTGTGAAAGGGTCGTTCGACCCCCCAAAGGGGTCGAGACCCACAGGTTGAGAACTGCTGCCTTAGGGGATGTCCACCTGCCAGCCTAGGCCAGCTCCCCAGGAGATTGGGCCTAAGCTGCAGTCGGACATCTGTAGCACTGCTGAGGAGGTGGGAGAGGCTCCCGCCACCACTGCTGCACTTGCAGCCTTCAGCCCGGCTTGTGGTTGAGCGGAGCTCCCACTGTGGGAGTGCACTGACCACCAGGGGGCAGCTCCTGCGTTAAGCGTCTGCCCCCTGGTGGTCAGTGCAGCCATTAGGACCAATAGTTCCGCCATTAGGGTCAATTTGCGTATTACCTTTTTATTATATAGGATATATATGAAAACCGGCAGTCAGACATCCCCCCAGATGGCGAGGGGATGCAGGCCAGGCTGAGGGATCCTGCACAAATCCGTGCACCAGGCCTCTAGGAAGTTATATAAATATCTAACCACCATGCTATACACCTGAAACTAATAATATTGAATGTCTATTGTAATTGGAAGCTAAAATAATTCAAAAAATAAAGTAAAAGGGATGGAAAAGAAAAAAAGGGGGGGGGGCTTTAACGACAGGGAGAATTAGGTTCAAATTCAGCCCTGACTCCTGGGTGTACATGGGAGGCAGGCTTGAGCCTATTTTTATATTTGGCCCCTGGGTTTTCTGTGAAGGGAAGATCCTGACAGTGATATGATTCAGAGCATAATTATGAATATCAGGTTTTACTCCGTGTGCCTAAGAGCTTTTGAGGAGGTTTGTAACTTTCTCCCTCTAAACTCAAAGCTGTGTTCATAAACCCCTGAAGCCTCCTTATTAGGGGTTTTCTCTCTGTTGTTTCCAGATGTTGCCTGGGAATAGACGGGGCCACAAGTCAACAGAGCTTCTCAGACATGTTCTAAAGATTTTTGTCCTAAAAGTGGCCAAAGAGCTTTCCTGTAAACCAGGGGTGGGGAACCTTTTTTACGACCAAGGGCCAGTTGATATTTATAACATCATTCCCGGGCCATGCAAAAGTATCCACGTAAAAATTAGCCTGGTGTATTTGGTCAAACATTTAATTAACTCGCCCTTAATGCCTTGGCAGGGCCAGACCAAATGATTTCAGGGGTCTTACACCGGGGCCGCGGGCCAGCCGTCCTCCCCGCCCCCCCTCCCCTGCAAAGAGCCTGAACTTGAGTCTCCAGCACTTGTGACCATCATTTGGGCCATTTGTGGGCTATTTTTTTTTTGTCTGCTTCCTGGTTTTCAGTGCTACAGTTGAGATGGTGAGGTTTGCAGGAATGAGATGTTGCTGTAAAAAAAAAAAAAAAAAAAGGCCACAGGGAACAAAGGAGCCTTGGAATTTAATGGCGTGACCAGAGAAAGGGTGGGGAGGCTCAGAACCTGCAAGCTTAGGTGAGGAAGCCCTGAGAGAGGAGGATGGCTTCTTTTCCCCAGGCTTGTGGGTGAATGTGGGATTTTAGTTGCTTGGAGGATTCAGGTTCTATGGAGGTGGGGAAGCCAGAGCCAGATGCCTCCCTCTCTCCGTGGCAAAGTGGAGATTTGGGGGAAAGAAGCTGTTAATTAACTGTACTTTTTTCTTCCCCTAGGAACAGCCTGAGTGGGGAAACGCTGCACTTACTTCTTCACCCACCTTCAGGTAAGCGGGGGAAGCAGTTTTAGCAAATTGGAAGTTAGTGTCTCCTAAGGAAACTCATCTTCAATTTTTTATCGCCGAATGATGATTTTGAAAGCTCTCCCTGGAGCACGACTGCTTTTCCCTCCACCCATGCGTTAGTTACCATTACCTTCCTCACTCCCAAGCTCCAAGAGCCCTTCCTTTATCTCTATAACTTGTTTCCTAAGCCCATTTCTCCTAGGAATTACTTTTCCTACCTCTGTGATTTTACAAATAAATGTTCTCTTATTGAAAACAAAACAAAAACAATGGAACTACTTTCTCTTTCAAATGACATCAAAGTCAGAAAAACAGATTTTAGGTACAATAATTCTTCACTCGGCATAAAGCTACTAATCTGGAAACTATTGGTCCCCCTCAACTCAACCCCAAATGGTATATACGTATGAACAGGTGGATAAATAATAAATAAGTGAATTAATGAAGAAATTACACCCCCTTCCAGGCACATGGTAGGTCTTCATTCAGAAGGTACTCCACAGTGTTGAATGCATAAATGAAGAAATTAAGGATTCCATTGCAGTTCTGTGACTGCGGGTCTTACTCAGTGTGCAGATTTTATTCCTTCACCATGAAGGTTAAGAATGTATGAACTTTGCCGAAACCGGTTTGGCTCAGTGGATAGAGCGTCAGCCTGCGGACTGAAAGGTCCCAGGTTCGATTCCGGTCAAGGGCATGTACCTGAGTTGCGGGCACATCCCCAGTAGGAGATGTGCAGGAGGCAGCTGGTCGATGTTTCTCTCTCATCGATGTTTCTAACTCTCTATCTCTCTCCCTTCCTCTCTGTAAAAAATCAATAAAATATATTAAAAAAAAAAAGAATGTATGAACTTTAAGGGATGGCCTTTGAGCATTTTAACAAACAGCAGAGGCATAGGGCTGTGGGCTAAGGCCAGAGGTCTGGCTGATCCTGAGGGCATCATTGCTGGGCATTCACTCCTTCCTGACCTAGGCCCTGCTTGGTTGGAGTTCCCTCTTGGCCATTGTGTACATGACTGGTTGGCTCTGGTCTCTGCCCCTCACCCCCAACAGTCTCAGCAGGGGTTACATCCATTAGATCCTACAAATGATTTCTGTGACTGTTTTCTCAAGGATGGTACATAAGCAGTCATATTCTAGATACATAGGAAGAAGTTAATTTATAATAGACCATGGATGTCTTGGGGCATTAGCACTTAATTCCCGTAGAACTTCAGTTGAGAGAGGCTGGAATAGATACTTTGCCTCAACTTAAAATAGACCTTCGATCTGAACAGAAAAGCCTTTCACACTCTACTCAGCAATACATCTCCTTCCTCCTCAAAACGTTGCCTAATATTTACTAGATCCTGGAAATCTTTTCTTTCTTAAGCTCATACCTGCTACAGTGAGGATCACTGAGTGAAAGAGGTGAAGGAAAATAAGGAAGGCTCCAGCTCAAACACACCTGGTTCAAATGCTAGCTCTGCTACTACCACTTGCATACTTGGAACAAGTTATGAGCTTCAGTTTACTCATTTATTAAATGAATATTAAAGAGACAAAGCTCTTAGTTCCATGACTGCTGCATAGAAGGCTATTTGCGTTATATATACAGTGGGGCAAACGTAGATTTACAGTTCATATGGAAAAGAATACAATAATAACAATACAAGAATAAACTGTTTTGCATACTCACAACTATAAAGCTACTTTTGCCCCACCCTATTACTGTGTGTAACAAACCACCCCAATATTCAGTGGCTTGAAAAAAAGCAGCCATGTATCTGCTCATGATTTAATTTGGGCAGGGTCTGCAGGGACAACTAGTCTCTACTCCACAAGGAGTAGACTGGGCTTGACTATAGCTGAAGGGTCCAAGAGTCTTGGTGTCTAGAGCCTTGGTACTGTCTGTCAGCTAGGGTTTGG